TCCATCTGTGTACCTCTCCTGCCTTTCTCATCAACCAGACAGCCATTTGGTTTTGGGTGTTGTTCATGAGTTTTGGGGATTATAAACCTGGAGTCAGTGGTCAGGATGGAGGTATAGGGCGCTGAATGCACTTCTTTTTTTAATGAGCTTTTATTTATTTGAGAGAACCCAAGCTGGGGGAGCAGCAGGCAGAGGGAGAAGCAAACTCCCCACTGAGCAGGGAGCCCGACGCGGAACTTGATCCCAGGACCCCAGAATCACCACCCAAACTGAAGCGGATGCGTAACCTACTGAGCCACCCAGGCACCTGCCCTGAATGCACTTCTAAGAAGACTTCACTTTGTGAAAAAGTCTGGGCAGGAGGAGCTAGGAGTGTGTGATTCAGAGTCACTGGGGGAGAGAGGAGAAAGCAGAAAAACCCCTCACCCTACCCCAGCCCACCAGTCCAACAGCATGGCACAGACCAAGGGTGTCTGGACAATAGGATGTCCATGGGGGATTTTTATTTTTAGTTTTTAAATTCAATTTAAGTAATATACAGTGTATTAATAGTTTCAGAGGTAGACTTTAGTGATTCATCAGTTGTGTAGAATACCCAGTGCTCATTACACCACGTGCCCTCCTTAATGCCCATCACCCTGTTACCCCTCTTCCCCAGCTATCCTCTCTCCAGCAACCCTCAGGTTGTTTCCTACAGTCAGGAGTCTCTTGTGGTTTGTCTCCCTCTCTGCTTTCGTTTTATTTTTCCTTCCCTTCCCCTTTGTTCCTCTGTTTTGGCTCTTAACTTCCACATATGAGTGGCACCAAATGATATCTGTCTTTCCCACGGAGGATTGTTAAATCGCTTGCTAGGAGATGTGTACAGGCTTTTGCCGTCCTCACCCTGTAATCTTCAGGAAGATCTACATTGCTTATTGGGATTTCCTGTGGGCGGATTCCTTAGAAAACGGCAAGGGCTGATGGAAGTCTGCCTTTGCTGCTTAAGCTTCCTGAGACAATTCCCACAGGTGACCCCGGGCATCTTGTATCCAAAGCAAACAAGCTTGAGTGACTCCAGTGCCCGGATCCTAGCTCTGGTCCCCTTGCCCACTGTTGTCTATCAAAAGGATTTAATGTGATGGGTTTAAAAGTTACAAGTGTAATTTGCTTAAAGCTCTTGGCTGCTTAGTAATGGGTAGACAATGATACAAAGTATCTCAGTGACTAGAAGGGCCTGGTGGGTTTTTGTTTTTGCAACATTGGAAAAGAGATTCCACCCTAAGAAGAGCTTCTGAAGAGGCAAGGTGTCCCTGGGATCAGTCAAAAGGGCAGTGCCACCTCACCCTGGTGATGGTTGGGTGGTGCAAGGGACACCTAGGGGTCCTTGGTCCTTCCTTTCTCCCTCCTCTGCACTTCTTCTTGTTCCTGGCTGCCTGTCGTGCAGCTGCTCCTTGCAGGGGACAGCTCTGGGGCTGTCCATGGTCACCAGGCAGCCTGTGGCTATCACACCCAGTGTGCAGGCCAAGATGTTAGCTGTTGAAAGAGGACAGTGCAGCCACAGGAGGCCCCGTCAGCTTGTGATTTCCGATTCAGTTAGGCTGAAACTGATAAGGAGAGGGGGTTGCCCACTATGGCCACACTGACTGGGGCTGCTGCTGAGTGTCGGTCATGCGGGGGTGGAGTCCCTGGTCTTTATCCTGTCCTGGACTTACTGCCCTCATTCACTCCCCCATCCATCCATTTGTTGTATTTAATGAGCCAAACAGTCTCTTAAGAGTCTCTTGTCCTGGGACTGATAGGATAATGAGTAACACCTGAGTAAGATCTAGCCTCTGCCTCCCTGGGACTTACAGGGGAGGGTGGAGAGATGAGGCAGAACTCAAAGACGTAGAATATAATTCCAGTCATGTGAGGGGGTGCAGAAAATTACATATGGCAGGGAGACTGACCCGTGGAGCAAATGATTTAAAATTCTGGACTTTTTTTTTTTTTTTTTTTTTTTTTTTTTTTAATGCACTCTTCTGCAGAACCCATCCAAATCTTGGCGGAAAAAAGACCAGTCACTTCTTTTTTGCAAAGGAGAAACCCAAGTGACAGAAATCCGACTCAAACCGTTACTGAAAAAAGGCAAGAGAATGCAATGAATCACGTAGTCAAACAATTAGGAGTATATCCAGGCATTAGGGTTTTGGGCATGGCTGAATCCAGGCATTCAAACGGCACTGTCAACAGTCAGTCTCTCTCCAGAACCATTTACCATTAGGCCAGATCAGTTGAGAGCATAGTGTCTGTGAGCTTTCCAAAGGTCTAGAAGGGTGCTGAAGATTTCCCAAAATATTGCTTGGCTTCAAAGTGTGAGGGAAAAAAAAAAAAAAAAAAAAGAACGTGAGGAGCTAGCCAATGGGTCTATACCTTGGAGGTGGTCTGTTCCCTGGAACTGCTCTCTCCTAATTGCCAAGGTCAGCAGATGCTTTCATCGGCCTCCTTACCCGTGTCCTCTCTGCAGTCTTTGATGCCACTGACCGCCATGTCCTTGGCACCCTCCCCTCCCCCAGCTTGCACGGCACTCTGCTGTTCTCCAGGCTGACTTGTGTTTTTGTTCTTTTCTGCTGGAGCTGGGAAGACTGAAAGGGACCCCACAGCACATGCTCCAGCCTGGAGCTCAGGGGCCACCTGGACCACTATGGAGCTGCAGGTGTCCAAGATTCCTGGGACAGGTCACAGTGATGGGACCTGGGTTTGGGTTCAGGGAACAACCAGGTCGAGACAGGCCTTGGGAGTCTGGCCATTCTCCTAAAGGTAACAGGGAGCCATTGAAGGCTGTACTGGGGACGTAATGTGATCAGATTTGTATTTCAGCACCAGAGAAGGGCCTTTGGCTGGAAGGTGGAGGCAGGATCAGGCTTCTCTGGTCATTCAGGAGGAGGACAATGGTGGCCCAATGAAGGGGTGAGAGCCATGGGGTGGAAAAAGGGGACAATTTATGACACAGGACTTGGTTCCACTTAAATGGAACAGGTGAGGGAGAAGGAGGTGTTGAGGCTGACACCCAAGTTTCTGATTCTGAGATGAGGAGCAGAGAGGTGGGTTTGCAGGGGGTCTGGGAAGAGAGCCTGGTTTGTCCAGGTTGAGCTGGATATGCTGGATGACCCTCTGGCTGGCAGTGTCCGGGCAGGGACAGTGGGGTTGTGGTATCTGGAGCTTGGGAGAGAGGTCAGGGCTTCTCCTGGCATCACAGCCAGGTCAGCACTGGGGGGGGGGGGGGGGGGTGCTCTGTGGAGGTGCCCCCTTCTGCCTCTTCCAAAGAAAGAACCCCCAGGGCTCCGGGGTGACCACAGAGCTTCTGCAGAAATCAGCTTCAGTGCAGGATGTGTTCTGGGAGGAGCTTTGAAGGCCACGGGGAAGGGGAAGGAAGAGGAGGGGACAGAACCGGGCCTGGGTCACACGGGGCCTTTCTCTGCAGAGCGGAGGCTGCCGTGGAGACTAAAGTCATTGGGGTCTCCGGTGAGGGCAGCCTCCCTGAGCCGGACAGTGGGGAGCCCGTCAGCAGAAAGACTTAGGGGAACCGAGTTCCTCCCGAAACAAGGTAGGTGCTCGCGGGGGTGTAAGGTGTTCTGGGAGGAAGCCGGGGAGACGCAGATCGGAGAAGAGCGGATGGAGGGGCTGGGAGGAGGGATGTCGGCCGGGAGCCTCGAGGGGCTAAGACGCCCCTGGCTCTTCCGTAGCAAGCCTTCCAGAGAAGGGTTACCGAGATACGGAGGCCGCTAGCGGCACTGGGCCAAGTGACAATCATCTAATCCTTTTCACAAGAAGCAGGGACCCAGGACCCATGAGAGGACCTCTTTCTTTCCTCCCCGAATGCTGTAAGTGCCCATAATAGTGTAACATTTGACACACGCGGGGCGCGGCCGTGCATATTCACCGGCCAAGGCTTCTCCTGAGCACCCGCAGGTGGGCCGGGTGCGCGTTTGATGCCCGATTCGTAGCTCGGAGATGTGAGGCAAGGTGGCAAGGGCTGCAAAGCAGGCGAGCCAGGCGCCGGGTCAGGGTCAGCCTTCTGGTCCCGCCCGCACCCCTTCTGGGACATCCTCTGTCCGTCCTGCCCCCGGGGACGCAGGTGACCATCACGCTGGCCCGGCCGCTTCTCTCCGCGCGCACGATCGAGCATCTTCTCCCCGGGCCGCGCAAGGCCAGTCTCCGTGCTCCAGCCGCTGTGGCGTTGAGTGTGGCATGAATGACCCACAGAAAGTAAAGGGCGTGGGGGGCCTCGGTGAGGTGAGGCGGGTTCGCGCAGGCAACCTTGGGGTGGGGGGGTTCTGCGGAAGGCGACACGTGAGCTTGGAAGGGCAGGGAGCGTCTGTGTGCACAGGTGAGACGGCAGGTGTGCGAACTCACAGAGTCGGGGAGGGCGTGTGGTGGAGGGGATGGTGGGAATGCGGCGGAGGGAATTGTGGGAATGCGGCGAGGGGATTGTGGGAATGGGGCGAGGGGATTGTGGGAATGCGGCGGAGGGGGATTGTGGGAATGCGGCGGAGGGGGATTGTGGGAATGCGGCAGTAGGGATTGTGGGAATGCGGCGTGGGGATTGTGGGAATGCGGCGGAGGGGATTGTGGGAATGTGCAGCTCGCGACTCTGGCTGTGGAAGCTGGAACTCCTAGAGGGCTTGCAGGCGGGAGATGCTCTGCGCCTTTCCTCCGAGAGGTTGGTGAGCATCCTTTCATTTAGTCCTGGCAATACTCCTACGAGGTTGGTGCTATTATTAGCTATCCTTTAAAGATCGGGAAACTGAGGCACAGAGGTTCTAAGCAGTAGCCCAAGATGTCACTCACAGCAACAGAGAGCGTTGGAACCCAGGCAGCCCAGCCACTTGGCCACACAGCGCCTCCCCGGGCCCCTCCTGGGCCGGCTATGGTGGCTGTGAACCTGGTCCCGGGGAGATTCCTCCCAGGCTCCCTGCCCTCCCCACCCCCCGCCCCCGCAGAACAATGCTCTCCTTCCCTTACCCCCCACCGCCCAGACTGGCTCTCCCTCACATCCAGGTGTTTCCTCCCCGGCCAGAGGCAGACACGGCAGGGGAAACAGGCCTGCCCCATCCCCAGGGGACAGCTGGGAGCAGGGCCCCCATGTCCCCAGCGCCTCGGGAATCTAGAAAGTCCAAGTGGGCTTCACGGGCTGAGCTCTGCATTTCTGCTGTGGGTCCACTAATCACACGCTCTGAACCAAAGAACGGGGTGTGCTGTCGGCAAGAATGACTCTTCATGGAGCACAAAGGTCAGAACGCTGGAAATAGCATCTGTCCCCCAAACTCAGGGGGGTTGAGGCTGCACTGGTGGGAGGAGAAGGAAGTGGGTCAGTGGTGGGGAGGTCTCTTCTCCCTGTGCCAGAGTGAGGACAGGTGGGCAGCAGAGCTGCCATCTTGGGAAACTCGGTGTTTTCCTTCCCTGGTTGTAGACCTGGGGGGTTGGCTGCAGGGAGGGTGCGTGGGAGGTTCCATGTAAATAACAACCTGGCCCAGGGGCCAGCAATGGGGGGAGGTTGGGGTACTGGGGGTGGGCAGGGGATCATCAGAAGCTGGGGTCTTCATTGCTGGAACACGGGCCCTAAGCCAGGCCTCCCCAGATCCTCCTCTGGGATCCCAGAGCCTGCTTCCTTGAGCCCTTCCTGTAGCTAGAAGTCTTCCCCACCTTGTCCTGCACCAGCAGCGGGGAACCGGCTCTGGTTGGCTTCTTCCTGCCACCTTCCTCCAGCCACCTCTGTGGTTCTGTGGTGGGTCCCAGGTGTGTTTCACTCCAAGGCCATGACCAGCTGGCTTTGCACCTGCTCTGAGGACTGTTTATTGCGAATATTCTGTATTTAAGGAATGGTACCCTCTGAATCCCAGCCCAGTCATTCATCCTTTGTCTCTGATCTTGTCCCTACATAAAGAATTGTGAAGCGCCTCAAATCTCCCCCTCCTCCTAACTATTCAGTTAGCCAGCCACAATTTCGCCAGCGGAAAACATAAGACTCGAGAGTCCAAGATGGACGACTTGATGACTCATGGCGTGACAAGCACATGAGAATGCAGTCGGAACATCTCAGGCTGATACGGCCCCACTCATTCCCATGCCTCTCGCAGGTTTCCACCCAGAGCTCACCTCCTCCATGAGATCTCCCTGAGCAACCTTCTAGAAACCTCACCCCGAGCCCCGGAGCCCCACATTCCCCTCCCCGGCCTTGTCCTTACAGCACTGACTGTCAGCTAATATATGACTTAATTATCGAGTCTATCGTCCGTCCCCTGGATGCTCGCAACATAGCCAGTAAAGTCAAGTCTTTATGAGAGCAGCTGTTTTTGTCTCTTTTTTATTTAATGATTTAAATATTTATTTATAAATATTTAATATATAAATAATATAAATATTAATGATTTAAATATTTTAAATATTTAATGATTTAAATCATTTAAATGATTGCCCTATCCCCAGGACCTGGAACGGTGTCTCCCTGTATAGAAGGGGCTGAACAAAGTAATGAGTGAGTGAATCTATCTGTTTACTGGGTCCCCTGTGGAAGACCTGACTTTCCTACCTTTGTCTGCAGGATGGGATCGGGCACACACCAAGGCTCAGTAAAGGCAACATTGAAGGAACACCGGGGGGCGGGGCAGGGTTAGAGGCACCCTGCAACGACAGGGGTGCTTCTCCTGTGTGGTGGGGACCCACTCCGGGCTGCTTTCCCTGCTGCCGACACCAGCTGCTGGGAACCTCCCCGACTGGTAGCAGAGGCTGGTGTATTCCTTTCCTGTGCTGTCACGTTCTTGCGGTGACTTGGGGCAGTGGGGGAGGCACGTGAGCTGATCTCTGATGTGCCCTTTGCTCGGGCAGTGGCACAAAAGCCACAGTGGGACATTACAACCTGAGTTTGTCCAAGGTGGGACCTGAGCTGGACCCCCACACACAGGTGGCAGAGGGTGATGTCCTTCTCACCACCATGCCTGGGTTCCCTTCCCCGACACGGTCCTCTCCTTCGCCAGCATTCTGAGCACTAACACAGTCTTTGTTTCATGTGCCATTTGACCAACCAGCCGTACCCCCACAGACTTCTTTCTGCTCCCTGGCCTGAGAACGGTCAGGGACGGTGACCCTGTCCTGTCTCCCTGTGAGCGCCCAATACTCATTCATTCAAAGATATTTATCGGGGGCCTTCTACTGGTATAAGCAGCATCAGGTAATGGGGACCCAGCAGTGCATAAACAGAGTCCTGCCCTCAAGGAACATTCTAGCAGAGGCAACAAGTCCATTCACAAATGGGACTCCATGCATGGTGCCCGGGGAAGTGGAGAGGCACTCCGTAGGTGTTTGTTGACTGACTTACATGGGCACCATTGGCAACCCCAGTGCCCAGCTCACAAATACTATGCCTTTTTTTTTTTTTTTAAGATTTATTTATTTATTGGAGAGAGAGCACAAGGGCAGGAGAGGGACAGAGAGAGAGAAAAGAGCATCTTAAGCAGCCTCCCTGCTGATCGCAGAGCTGAACACGGGGCTGGGTCCCACGACCCATAAGATCAGATCATGACCCAGCGGAAACCAAGAGTCAAATGCTTAACGGACTGAGCCACCCAGGCACCCCTGAAAAGCCATTAGCTGCTCTTGGAACATTAGGACTGGAGACGCAGTGTAGCTCACAGATGGCTCACTGTCTGCCTTCAGGGGCCCCGCAGTGTCATGAATGATGCCCCAGCCAAGCTCCTGAGCACCAGGGAACACAGGTGTCTCTGCCTCTGCCCACAGGGTGGGCATGCCTGTGGGCTGTTGCCATGCAGGGAAGTGGACCCTGTCTTGCCAGATCTCCCTGTTAATTCCTTGTATGTAAAAGTTGGATTTTTATGTAAAATACGACTTCTTAAGAGTTGGCCGCAGATTCAGATCTTCTGAATCTCTGGCTTCTTCTGGGTAGGGGAGCCAGTGGCCCAGACAAGGGGTAAGGATGCTGGCTTTTCACTATAGAGTGGTTTGAATCTTCTCAATTTGCCATTGGCATGGTGGTTCATCAAAAAGTGAGTTTTATCGATCTATACTAGGCAGAGCGTGTCACTGGGGCCCCGGGCGAATCTGGGAAATGGGTTCGTTGTCTGGAACGTGTGGACACAGGTCCCTGAGAGTGTCAGTGTGCTGATCATGGGGCAGGCATGTGGCCGCTAGGGCCACAATGCTGTCCTTAGAAAATACTTAAAAAGTCAGGGCCCCAGTTCAAAGGGCGAGGACCGTGTCTCCCTCATTCATGTCTGAACGCCCACACCCTTGCCCAATTTCTGCTGCCTGGACTGGACCGTGTTCCATAGATCCTCTGATTTGCTTAGTATCATCAGTCATTCTGAACACTCCCAGGAACTAGGAAGAGAGCCATGGGGCCTCTGAGCCGCCCAACTGGAGGTTCCCTGTCTGGAACTTCCTGATCTTTTCCTGGATCTGTTTTCTCAGGCTTTGTTTCTGTATTTTACTTACAAGACAATCCCATGTGCTTATCTGGTTTCCCAGCCTTCTGGAAGAGCAGAGATGGCTGAGACACGGTTGCTGCCAACAGGGGGGAGCCCTTGTTGGAATTAGAACCGTCCCCTCTGAGCAGACACATTATAGCGAGTGCCTCTTCGCATGGATGAATTACAAAACCTCACCCTCCCCGGCAGGCTGGATTACCAAAAGGCCAAAAAAACGGTCCACCCGAAGGTAGCCCCCATTCACCCACTAAGTGCAAAGTGCACCCCCACTGCTGAGACGGGACTCATACCAAGGAGTCAGAAAGTACGAGCCATTCAGGGCAGGATGGAGGCTGCCGTCACCTGCAGGCAGCCCCTGAAGTTGTTGGCATGCAACAATGATGTGCCATGAGCCCCCATGAGATTCATCGAGAAGACCTTCAGAGACCTGTTCCGGTGCCAAAATGGGCAGGCTTCATTTCCTAAGAAATGCATGCCATCGTGAAGTGAAGAGAGGTAATGTTGATGCATTCTGAGAATGACTGGGTTCTGCTCCTTTCCATTTCCTGTCTGGGTGCAAGCTTGTCCCCTGGGGGCTCCCCCACCATCATATGGTCAACAGCCCCAAAGGACAGGAAATAGATCACAGAGGTCTGTGGAGGAGCAGGGGGGCCACAAAGCATCTCCAGCACCTGTGCCAATATTCATAAGCACCGAAGAAGCGTTTGCTGAATGAATGAGCGAGCAAATGAATGAAGAGAAAAACGGCTAAGGAGGCTTTCCGACATTGGTTGTTTACGCTTCTTACAATTTTTAATTTCCGTTAAAAATCAGCCCAGAATAGCCCCAGCTTTGCACTGTGAGTCCTGAGACACGCACATGTCTTTTAACCTATCTCTCTGTGATTTCTTTTCCTTCGAGGATGCTCAGTATTCCTTATCCATAGATTCCTGGACAGAAGCTTACCTGAGTGTTCATTTCTTTCTTTTTCACTAGCGGCAGAGGGTGCCCTGTGAGATTTGGTGGTGGGAGAAGTAGGGGTGCAGAGGGCAAGGGAGGTGGCCGTGACCTCATCCCCCCAGCTGAGATGGAGGTCTAGCCTGGTTTCGTCATTCATTAGCCATGTGATTTTGGGCAAGACACTTCACCTTTCTTCTACAGAATGTTAATTCATCATCTACTGGGTACCAGCACTGCCCAAGGAGTGGACATGCTGTGGTGAATAGACCCAGGAGGGCCCAGTGTTGGTGCAGCTCGTGTTCTAATGAATAGCCAAGATAATTAATCATGAAACAGGACAACTTCTGATACTGATAAATGCTATGAATAAAATACAAGTGTGGGCTAGAGGATCACCTGGGGTGGGTGGTGGGGTTTGTTTTAGGTAGATTGACCAGGAAAGGCCTCTCTGAGGAGGCAAAATTTTAAGTGAGTATTTAGAAGGAGCTTAGTGTGGAGAAAGGTGTTCCAGGCAGAGCCGTGTGAAGGTCCTGAGGCAGGTCTGGGAAGTGTGAGTAACACAGTGAGCCAAGAGGTGAGAGCCTCGTGAGCCAGGAGCGGGGGAGAGATGAACCTGGAGAGGTGCACTGGGGCCAAATGAGGCAAGATTTAGGCAGGGTGAGGAGTGGGGAGTTATTCTAAGATCCAAGAGAAGCCATTGGAGGGCTTTAATCAAGGACTGGGGTGTAGAGAAAAAGTGGATGCCGGGGGACGTATTGGGGGATGACCATGATCTGAGCAAGAAGTGATGATAGTTTGGTCCCCGTGCATTGGGCAGAGATTATCTTTTCATTCTTAATCACAGCTAATA